TGCTTCACGTTTGGGAGTATTCTGAGAAATTCATTTGGAGGTTATAGAGTCGATGGACTTATGATTGTTAGCAGTATACATGGTATCATTGTTCAATTGGGGTATGAGTTGGATAACGTGCCAATTGGATCTCTGGTTGACGCCTATGTGAAGTATGGGAATTTAGCTGGTGCAAATCGTCTTTATAGAAGTATGAAGAAGACAGATATCATATCATGCACTACATTAATTATGGGATATGCTCGTCAATGTAAAGGCATTGATGAATGCATGAATCTCTTTTTAGAGTTGCACCGATTGCACGTGGGAATTGATAGTGTAATATTGTGCTCAATGCTTAGTTTGTGCGCTAAATCAGCATTATTGTGTCTAGGAAGGCAGATGCATACTCTTGCATTGAAATATCAAAATAAACATGATGTAGCCTTGGGAAACTCTTTGATTGACATGTACTCAAAAGCAGGTGAGATTGAGGCTGCTAAGAGAATTTTTCATCGCATGGAAGAGAAGAATGTAATCTCATGGACATCAATGATATCTGGATATGGTGTGCACGGCCATACCGAGAACGCAATTTCTCTTTACAAGAAGATGGAATTGCAGGGAATTCATCCAAATCATATTACGTTCTTGTCCCTTTTCTCTGCTTGTAGGCATACTGGCTTGACTTCTCAAGGCTGGGAGTTCTTCCTCAATATGGTTGGCAAATATAAGATTTGCCCACTGTCGAAGCATTATGCTTGCATGGTAGACCTTTTGGCACGTGAGGGTTGTTTGGAAGAAGCCCATAGTTTGATATGTAGGGAGAATATTAATCCGAGTGCTTCTCTTTGGGGATCACTTCTTGGGGCGTGTAGTATGCATGAACATATGCATCTTGGAGAGTTAGCAGCAAAGAATTTATTTAGTATGAACCCCCAAGAGTCTGCCAACTATGTTGTCTTAGCTAATATATACGCATCAACAGGTTTATGGCAAAAGGCTGCCGATACACGGGGATTGATTGTTAATAGGAGGTTACTGAAGAATCCTGGTCATAGTTTTGTCCTGTCAAACAGCAAGAATTTATTACTTCTTCCCGCTGGTTGGTAGAAAGGTCTGTGAGGAATTCAATGTATTTGATTTCAGATGTGTTATTTTTATGCATTTATTCATTGTGCTTAATGATCGAGCATTTGAGCTGCCCTTAGCAGTTAGCTCATATATACATACATATGCAATTTTGAACTTTCGTGCAGAAAAAGAAAGGATAAAAGGATAGAGATAAGGAGCTCATTGACTTGTTTATTGTTGTTGTTAGTCAACCTAAAGTTCCATCTCGTTAATTATCTCTTTGTGTGTACAAATGCTATTATTTTTTCAGGGGAAATTGGAGTTTGCACCCCACTTTATTGGGTAAATTTGACTTTGCATCATGTTTCGTAAAACCTTAATATTTGCACCCCTCTCTGTCATATACTCTGTTTAACAAAGAAACTCCCTCTGTCCGCCCTAATTTAAAATTGTAGATAGACTATAATGCCCATACCTAATAGATTAGCGACCTTTCTGAATTCTGGCCATTGTTCATTCTTTCCCAATTCTCACGTAAGTTGAAATAGGGTTTCAACAATTGAAGATGATATATGAACTCAAAGCTTTGTTGGGAAGATAGATATGCAAATATGAACTATTTTAATCAAGATGGTGGGCGAGTGGTCGATTTCTTCACTTCAGGCGAATGCAAAGAGTTTGTCTTGGATTCAGAAGCACCTACACCAACCCCAATAGAAATGGCGAAGAGGACGTCTAAGAAATTGCCGGTGAAGAGAAATATGATCCCTTTACCAGATGCGACTATGCGAGTAACTAAGTAAGATTAACTAAATTGCCAAAAAAAAGATTAACTAATTTGCCTCTTACTATATCTATTTTTCTTCTTCCTTGCCAACAATTTAACAAGCAGTAATTCACTATGATGAAAATGCACGAACTCATGTAAGAAAACGAAGTAATAATACATAGAAGCACCATATGCTCAGGCTAGGATGGTCCTTGGTTGTCCTTCCTAGAAACTAAATGCGGCCTAACAGAATGCCGGGTGGTGGACTTGTGCTCATCTATTTGGTTTTTCTGTCTGTTAGGCTGAGCAGTGCTATGGGAATCCTTACGGTGTCTGGTCTTCAATAACTGGTTATAGGCTTATAGCTATAACATGTATGAAGAAATATTGCAATATCTACTAGTTGTTCTTCGAATTGCCTTGATGTATGCATTTTATCTCAATGAGATCAGGTACAATCTCTAAGTGATTTTTTTTGCTGGAGAAATGTGTATTGTCTATAAATATTGTTCTATCTGTGATGTAATTATACTCCTCTCTGTAAGAATAAATACATGTTTAATGCAAAAAAAATACATAGAAGAAAAAAGTTTGGAAGTGTAATATGTAAAGTATAGTGCCCTGATAGAAGCTTCTTTATTAAGCCCAAGTAGTTTATGCAGTTGTTTTGTGACATACCGACATCTTAAGCCAAAATTATAGTGCACACATTTGTTGACTTATACATTGCTTTAATAAATATGCATTTATTAGTCTAGTTTATTTGGTAAATGTTAAGCTTCTTTTTTTATAATGTTTTCTTTTGTCCTTTGCAATCACTAGGGATCCATTTCAAGACAACCCCACTACTGAAGGACTCAATAATGATGCCTTGGGTGATATATACGGTGAAGTGCCTCCACTGAATCATATTGCAAATGCAGAAACAACTGAGGATGCATTCCACTATTATCAAGGCATATTGTAATGTGGCAATGCTATAATTTATATTGGGTATTTAGATTTGTTTCTAATAAAATAGTTTTATTTAAGAAGTTCTAAATGTGTTTTAAATACAGTTGTTATATGGGATTATAGGTACCCAATTTAATGAGATTTCTGATGGATTGGGTGGGTATAGTCTGAATGACTCAGATAGTGAATCAAATGATGGGAGTTGCACACCATATGACCAATCAAACAGTGAAGTTGAGAGTGACTATATAGAAGAACAAGATGGAGCTGGCATGGAAAATGAAGTTGTTTTCCCACCTATACTTTCAAGGGCTCCTGGAAGACCTAAACACAACCGAATGAAGGGGCATGATGAGAATGAAAAACAGTCCAAGAATATAAAACAGTCAAGCTCTACTGTTTTTTCTCTACATTTATCCTCATTTTATAGCTATATGCGCATGAATAGTTATTACTCCCTCCGTCCCAAAATCGTTGGCCAATGTTGACTTGCACATGGATTAATAAAGTAAAAACTATGTGGTTGAAATTTGTGCAGAGGAGAGAGAATTAACTTTAACCACATATTGCTTACTTTAAATAAAAATGGCAAAATTTTTTGGGATGGCCAAAAAAGGAAATTTGGCCAACGATTTTGGGTTGTGTTTTGTACCTTTGCTCCCCCCCCCCCCCCCACTAATTTGTTTTACTTCCGAAAAACAATTAATGTCACCCCCATGCCATTGACACCCACAGTATGACATGAACCAACTTTATGGCTACCCAAGGGTGTACAAAGCAGAATCCTCCAAGGAGATTTCTTACAGCTTGCGATTTAAGAGCCTATTTGCGGGGGCTAGATTTGGTGTAATTGACAGAGTTTGCTGATACTGAGCTGAGTTAGTTAACTTGTTGAATTATATGTATATATTTAAAAGAAGGTAATGTCTAAAATGAGTGTGTAAATCTCATTTAGTTTGTTCCACTTTCATCTTGCTCGTCCATAACTTTTGCACCTTTTTGATATATTAACCACTTCAAACAATTTAGTTTTTGGTATGTACGAGTAATACGATTTAATATGATTGATATGATCAATAGACAAAACTATGATGCCACCAAGTAGGCTCTAAATGAAAACAAACAAGGAAACAAACTGTTATAAGCTGATTCAGTTATATGAAATGATGTAGTAGACTTGGGTCTTGGGGTGTGCATAGATGCAATCATAAAATCATAATCTGCGTGCGTGTTTTTTAGATTGAAACTGGTGGCCAAGCATGAGACTGGGAAATTAATTGATGAAATCTCGGTTTTTTAGATTATATTCTCAGAATCTCAGAGGTGATCTTGAGATTCATAGATTTTGATACTTGGTATTTTCCTTCATTATCTACCGCAACTTTTTCCAATGTGATACAAATAGGTTTAGGCGTAATTAGGAAGTTTGGACTATAGCCTCCGGCTTGGAATCACATTGACTGATTGAAGTACATCTTTGTCTGGACTCTGTAGTCACCCCCTTCATTCAACTCTTATCTGGATAAGGTTTTGTATATTGTTAGGTGTCAACCAATTGATTTTACATTGCAGCGATAGTTGAGACATGAGAGTGTTGTGTGCTATAGAAACCAGTTAGTGGAAGAAATGGTGTATGGGTATTAAACGATATTATAATACTAGATGGTTCGGTTAGGGTACCAAGAAAATCATTTATGTTTTCGTAAGTCCTACAGTCCTACTTCATCCCAATTTCCCAAAACTTAATTTCACTTATTAGACTATAGTCACTATACCCAGTACAAAAAAAGGAAATTCTCATAAACTTCAACATGCCCAGATAACATTAAACCACAAATGGCATAAAATAAAGGAAACACAAACGTAGAAAGAAAAACATAATTGATCTTTCGGTCTTTCCCATAACTAAGTAATCCGTAGTGGTTATATTCTACTATATCTTCATATGTAGTTTTGGTAACACCACTTATCCTGCTTATTATTCCTGCTAGATAAGTTCCCAAAACATCACACTAGAGCCTCTAGCAATAAGCCAATAATGCTCTAATGAGCACATCGAACCACTATGAACCATACACTTAAAAATGCCTACAAGTTAGGACATGGCTTATAAAATCCTCAGAAAATATTTTTTTGATCCCACAGCTACTAGGTAATTACCATTTTTTGCACCTAACTTCCATTTTCCATTTTAGTACAAGAGCAACAGTTTTAGTCACTTATGGTGCTTTCTATCATTTAGCCCATCAATTTGTACATCTCTGGTTGTGATTTTCTTTAGAATAACGGACAAAGAGGACCAAATGGAGCAAAATATCATAGTCATGCATCAACAGTGGAAAGAAATAAGTTCTGGATAAAAAATAGAATGACCTACAAATCATAGGACCAAAAAGTGTTTTTTTCCTTCTAAAATCCTATTTGCCACTACAATCAGGGTTTTTACCAGTCTGGTAGAACTGCAGCTCAACAGTCAACCAAAGGCAAAATCAGTCAATTTCCCCTGCAACCATGTCAGACGTATGCTGCCATTGAGAGAGAGAAACGCCTCTCTCAGATTTGGATCCCCAAACAACTCAAGAGCTGAATAGTAATGTGTGTCGTGTATGCCTTCCATATCATCCAACGCTTTAACACACTTACTTATACTGAATCCTTTGTCAGATTGGGGAGGGGCACCAATTGACCCCACCTTTGATGAAGCTATCATCTCTTGCAACGTTTGCGAGATAACGTCAATCATCTCACTGTCCCGACTACTGTCACCTGAATCTGGAACTGCCTCACGGGGGCGCTTTCTCTTCTTTTCTGTTCCAGTCTTGGCCATGGACTTTGGCGGTGAACCAGGGAAGTATGTCAAAGGGAATGGGGTCACAGGTGATGTGTTTTGGTTTTCTGCTAAAGACGAATGATCTACTACTGCTGCTGCTGATTTTTCCAATTCTCCATAGTGACTTGACTGCGCATACTTCCCATCGGCATCAGGCTCTTCAAAAATCAAACACAGTTCCTCATAGATTGGACATTCCTTGATCTTACCCGTTTCTTGTTTCGGTTGACCCTGTAACACCAACAATGTATGAGAAAACGCAAGAAATGATAGCAAAATGATAAAAAGACCTCATGGTGTAAACTATTCCTTGTGAAATCACATTAATACCATAGTGGCAACATTATGGTGTGAATGCACATTGATGATTTCATATGAGTAGTGCACACCTGGTATAACAAAATGATACCCTCAAAAGGGATAGTCCCTCAAAAGTCATGTTTCAACAAGGTACTAGATCGTGACTTCGTGAGAGACGTGGATAAGGCTTTTTGCTTTTTGCTTTTTCCCGTTTACTTTTTAAAAAATGATAAGCATAAACTATAGTGCTTAAAAAAATCAAATACGTCTCACAACATACGGTATGGGTACCCTAAAGTATCTATTATGTGAACATTTCATATACATGAATACGGTACGGTCGGTACCCCAATCATGTTTCCGTGATACATAGCTGACAAATTACACTCATACTTATGTTTTTAAATTAATCTCCTTGTTAAACAAAATATAGAGTGCTTATTTCATAAGGATTATTTGTCTGGAGTCTGAACAATGTGCTGAATTTTCTAAGGAATAGTGTTTGTAACTTGAATTTCAGGCAAATAAGACAAAATCTGCAGATTCTGATTATTCAGCTCAAGACTAGAATAAGCTGATATATGCTCCCAAATATAGCCTTGAGATACTAGATTTCTGTTTTTTTGAAAAGCCACATGAAATTCAATGAGATTGAGCTTCTTTTATCGAAATACGACTCTTCTTTAGGATGCATGAAGTTAATCAATACTATAGGAGAGGGAGAGGGAGAGGGGAACCCCTAAATCATCACTCATACTTATGTCTATAACTTTATTTCTTTATTTGTGACTCGGCAGGGGATTTTGTGGCAGGGGTGGCTAAACCGTGGTCTGGTCAGTGCTCAGCTCGGGAAGGGGAGCTGCTTGGCATCAGGGAAGCTTTATCATGGCTTCACTCGGAAGGATGGGACAATGTGGAGGTGGAATCAGATGCACTTAACGCTGTTTCTGTGACCATTCACGGGAACAGCCCTACGTCTTTTGGTTTGACTGCGGGTGATTTAGAGAAGTCATAGCTAGTTTTAATAGCATTGATTTTTCTCATATTAGGCGATCTGCGAATCGCATTGTTCATGAGTTTGCTAGAGTAGCGGCTTCTTTGTCTGATTGCCGGGCTTGGTTTGGTGTTCCTCCTAGTTTTGTTATTCCTGTTCTGACTCATGATTTTATTAATAGTTGTTGATTGTTTTGCTTTCTAAAAAACCTTACTTCTTTGTTAAACTAAATATAATGCTTGTTAGGTAAGGATTATTTGTCTGAACAATGTGCTGATTTTTTTAAAAGGAATAGTGTTTTGTAAAACAAATTTCAGACAAATAAGACAAAAGCTGCTTATTCTGAATAATTAGCTCACTAGTAGAATAAGCTGATTAATGCTATCAAATACAGCCTTAGGATAGTAGCTTTTTAAAGCCACATGAAATTCAATGAAAAATAGCTTCTTTTATTGAAATACAACTCTTCTTGAAATGCATGGAGTTCAACAATAATATAGGAGAGGGAGAGGGGAATGGAGAGAAGGGTACCCCTATGTCTTCCCAAAGATCAAAACCATCAAAACAATCTGCCAATGAATCATGTTGACCAGAAGCAGATGACTTGAAAGAGTAGTAACGAGTCCTGAGTACATCAAGGTGTTTCCTCAACTGATTGTTGTTGAAATCGAGGTTTGTTTGTCTGTTAAACTCACTGCGGATATAGTTCCAGGTTTTCTTATCAAAGACATTGTTTGGCCTGTTTCCTAGCCGAATCTGCTCAACAACTAGTTCTGCAAAGATCTTGTCAAGAGACGGTGTCCATCTTGTTCTCAGACGCTCTTGCTTTGGCTGCTGATCGTTAGTATCCATATCCATCTGCAAATTTTCAAGTCATTGTTATACATAGAGATTGCAAATTACTGTAATGAGCACTCCCATGTAAGGGATGCATAATTGTTTTTGGCAAAAAGACAAAATTTCATCTGCTTATTCAGGTACAAAGTGGCTTATGTAGCCATATATGTGGGAAATGTCACTGGCTTGGCTGAACTACAGTGTTTAATATTTATAATGTACTCTTAAAATGAATTAAATAAAATAATACTCCCCGTGTCCCAAAAAGAGTCATGTATGGTGATATGGTCAAAGTATAACTATTCCATTTTGGAAAGTTACACATCTTAAACAGGATGTCTTAGTTGTATTTTTTAGTTTTATAGGTTTCACTAAATTGTCGTATTTGACTTCTGGTAACTCAATTTTCACAAATTACATGAAAATTTAATCCCAATGTGACCTTTGATATGTCGTATGTCTTTTGATTTTCTTTACATCTCTAATATTTGGAGCCACGATGTAATGAGAATTAAGACAACAACAGTACTCTTCTTTCTCTTTTACGGTTTTGTTTGACCATGTAAAACTATGATTTTGTGAGAAACAATTTGAAACAAGACTCTTCTTTTGGGACAGAGGGAAGAGTACCTCAGAATGAAGGTTGATGTGTCAATTTGTTTCACTTCATCCATTTAAGAATAACAAAAACACTATCCATGCACCACTTTAATTATCAAACTATTGAGCCAGGAGTGTTGTGATGGAAAATCTGAATATTAGACTGATAAGTGAAATAAGAGCAATACCAAATGGGTATTAACTTCTCATGTGTAGCCAGAGACAAAGGGTGTTGCTGTTGACTACCAGCATTCAGTGAGTACTAGCATTCTGTGGGACAAATTAAAAAATTATTTTAGAAAAAACTAAAAACATACTTTTTGAGACAGAATGGGGATTAACTATTGTACGGTCGACTTTGAGGACATAAAATGACTAGTAGCGAATAATTGGGGTTTAAAATCACAACTTGTAGGCATTCAAGTCAGTTAGCTAAGATATGGTTTATAGTACATGACTTTACAATTAAGTAGTATCAGTTATCACCAGTATTCTGATCGGTTCATTTGTGATACAGTTTTTCTTTTTTTTTATGTTCAAACATTGGCTTAAAAACTAAAATGAAAAGGGCAGGAAAGCTGCAAAGGGGAAGAATAGATAATTTAAGAATAAGCCTAACAGCTCAATCAATCTCTTATGAAGGAAATGTATAAAACACAAAACCGAAGAATAGATATATCGAAGCGAATAATTCTCAGAAACATGGAAAATAAAGAGCTAGCAAAAGATGTGTAGCTCTTCAGTTTAACATTTTGACCATGATCTAAAAAAGAATCATTTACAATTAAAGCATAAATCAATTGTGTAGTTAAAATAATGCAAAGTACCGTTTGAGAATGGTATCGGGGAAGGGGTGCAGCAGCGTAGAATGAGGATCAGGACCTGGATTGGATGTGGAAGCACGGTGAATTCTCGGATAGAGACCTGTGAGGCTGTGATGTGGGTGAGAAAAGCCAGCGGCAACTGCAGTACACAGAGAAGGGGTCTGGACCATTGAGATTGCAAATTTCTAGCTTCTGCAAAACTGCAAAATCGAATAAACGTATTGCAAATATGAGCTCGGACCGGCCCGCGAAAAATGGGTGTCAATAATTTATCCGGACCGGAACGCAGAATCGTGGTATGTAACGAAGTACTCCGTATATATTTTACGAAACAATAGTTTACAGTCCATTCCGATCAGGACCTATTTTTTCCGGGCTAATACCGGTCCGGTTCAGGTCTAAAATACGGACCGATCCGATTAATGTACAGCCCTTGGTGTCATCACATATTCACATGTTCATACAATCATACCCGCTCGGAAGAACAGACCCTTAAATATTACACTTTCTAACACTTTTAAAATATATAATATTACAATATTTTTAAAAATTGTTAATATGTTTATATTGTATACACTATACAGGTCTTTCACCACTTGAACAAAAAACATTTAAACAAAATATTAAAATTTGTTTATAATGAAAACTATAAATCATACTTAAAATTTTAGCACAAAATATTATCCTTGAGTATAAAAATGGATATTAACTCTGTATATTGGTTGATGAACTAGTTGTTAACAGCCAAACACTTATTTAAACATAATGAACTATGAAGTAATGATCTTGTCTATCTGAATGGACAACGACCTTCTGTTTGGCCTCTGCTATTTGGGACAGTTGCCGGTGAATCTTTTTGATGATTTTTTGAACACACGCTTCATGATGTGTAAATTATGTCCACCAAATTTAAGTTTGAAATTTAATTCGGAAGTCAGTTAAATAAATGATTGAAAAATAACTGCGCCAAACCATATATATAAAAGCGTAGTTTTTCAATAGTTTATTTAACTAACTTCCTAATTGAATTTTAAACTGGAATTTTGTGGACATAATTTGCACTTCATGAAGAACATGCACAAGAAATTTCATCAAAACATTATATCGACAACCGCCTCAAACGGTGGCAACCGGACGGAAGATCCTATTCGGACGACTAGAAAAGATCTTTTTCCATAAACTACAAATATATAAATATAGGGTCTGATTCTTTTGAGAACACTCCTTGACGTGAAAAAATGAAATGCTCCAAAATGATGCACGTTAGGTTCACGAAAATGCACATTTAGTCATGCAAAGTTCAAATGTGTTTAAACTTTTGCACATTTGAAATGCACATGTTCCAAATTTTGATATGTGCAATTCTGTTTTACATGATGCATGACAATCAAATAATCCAAAGTTCCAGACTCATTCTCATTTCTCTCATAAGATGATATTCTCATATGATATTTACTCTCTCTCTCTATATATATGTATATATATATAATGATGGATTAATAAATGGAAATATACATGCACAAATAAATAACTAATTAAAAACTGTATGGTTGAAATTTGTGCAAATGAGAGAGAAACTAGTTTAACCACATATTCATTACTTTAATAAAAAAAATGATAAATCTTTTTTAAACAACTAAAAGGGGAAAATTGGAACAATTCTATTGGAGGGAGAGAGTATAAAATAATATGTTCTTTGCGATAGTTCGAAACAGTTCGGATCGATATGGTTCTGGTATGGTTCTAGTGAAAACTGATACCTTACCATATTGTATAAGAAAGTCAGTCTGGTACGGTACTATGTTTATTCAATTTTTTTTCGATTCTAGTATGGATCATAACAATTCTTTGGTGCGGAATAGGAAATGTCATATCCGTGCACAGACCTATGGCCCGCAACCCATTCGGGTTGAACTGAGAAAGCTGCGAGAAGATAAAACTAGGGGTGGGCAAATAGGTCTTGAACCTGTGATCGAGCCAATTACGATTCAAGTCCAAAACGGGCGGGTTCCTATTTTTCACTATAAAGTGGGCCGGGTAGGGTATTGATTTTCTTAGGTTGAGAATTGAGATTGGTTCAGAAATCTAAAAGTACTGGATACCGACCTGACCTGTTTGTATTATAATTGCATCTTAATTTATTTAATAGTTCTGGACTTCTAGCTTTCTGGGCCTCGTAGCTTTTAAGTTCTGGATACCAAACTTTTACAAAAATTCCTTTTGTACACGTTTTTGTACCCATCAGTACACACATGTGTCTGTGAGAGTTTTTTTTCTGTGAAGTGTGGTCCACAGACAAAAGCTGGTTTGTTTTGTCTGTGAAATTTTCCACAGACAAAACAAGCGAACTTATGTCTGTGGACCGCGCTTCACAGACAAAAAAACTCTCACAGACACATGCGTGTACTGATGGGTACAAAAACGTGTACACCAAGAATGGTTGAAACTTTTATCCTCGTATGTGAAAAATTCAGAACCCGTACATACACGTTAGACTTGCTCAAAATAAAAATAGCTAACTCACCTAACGTGCCCCCACAAATGATTGGACTTGGGCATATATATACTCCCTCCGTTTCACAATCAAAGTCACGATTTGACTTCTTTAGGATTAAGGAAATAAATTGACTTTACTGTAGAGAACACTATTTAGACATTGTATGACACTGTTTTGATGTAGATTTCTTTGCCAAATAAGGAAATAGGGGAAGTGTGACTTTGTTTTTGAAACATCTAAAAAGGAAAGTGTGACTTTGATTGCGAAACGGAGGGAGTTGTCTATCCACCGCCCGGCCCGGCCCCTAATAGCATATAGGCGGGTATGAGTTAGGGTGTAGGCCTCTTAGGCCAATAAGTCACGCCCGCACTTTTAGTATATATTACATTCATTCATCGAAACAATTTAACTTTCACATTTGCGAACACACATCTTTGATTTTAATTATCTTTAATGGCATATTAGTAAACATTGTAAAAAAATCTTTTGTAAATTCGCATTAATAGAAATTTTATAAAATTTTATAAATAATAATTTGATTATACTCCATGTCTCCATGTTTATATTAGTAGAAAAGTATTGTCAAAATAAGATGTGCGAATAGTGCAAAAATTACAATGTTGCAACTATTATGATGTTTTTACGTGGATTGTTTTTAGTCCTAGAAAAGTCTAGATTAGTTATAAAATACACAGAGATCGGAAATTTACCAGACCAGACCAGTTCATACCAAACCAGACGAGACCAGAAATCCATCTACATACATACTCCTTCCGTCCCTCAATACTTTGTCATGTTTGACCGGCACGAGAAATAATAACGTAAAAATAGTGTGGTTGATATATGTGCAGAGAAGAGAGAAATAATAGGAACCACAAACTCATAGATTAAAAGGGAAAGTGACAAAATTTTTGAGACATCCAAAAAAAGAAAGATGACAAAGTTATAAGGGACGATGTGAGTATTATAAAAAGGTGACAACTCCGGTACCCATTTAAAAAATGGGATACCGTACCTACCACTCACATGATTGGTCCAAATCATTAAATCATTTTTAATTTAGATTTAAATAATTCAACTGCAAAAATCTGATTTGTCCAAGTGGACAAATGTATGATACCTTTTGGGGACGATAGAATCTGCCTTATAAAAAAACCTCATCTAAACCCACCTACCCAAAACCCATCTAAACGCACCTACCCAAAACCCATTTACGAGAGGTTGTAATGTTATACACCCATCACAACTTCACAAGCCATAAAAAAGACAGAAAAATACGCAATAGACCGTTATGGTAGGAGGTCTTATTGGTGGCAATATATTCAAGATGGCAATAGAGTAATTTGCCTAAAACTGAAAAACCTGAAGGGTGGTGGAGCCGAGATGGGCAAACGTCTTCTTCCCAAAAACTGTCGGTGCTCTGCCCTTTTCATCTCCCAATAGAAACCTGGGTTTCTCAAATCCTCACAGAATTCATATGTTTTTTTTTCTCCATTGTTGAACAAGGTTTACGTCTATTTCATGCCTCCCTTGAACCTTTACATTTCATTTCATAAAAAAAAGAGAAAGAAAGTAGAAAAAGAAAGGTTTTTTATAAGGTTTTCATCATTTTTGTTGGGCTTATTTGTTGTTTTGGCTAATGCAGGGAGGTAAAGGATGGGGAGGAGGACAAGGCCGAAAGGGAGATGCTGTGGGTGGTTTCTGGCCGGAATAGTTGCGGCGGCGATCGGCGTAGCTATTTATGTGCTTATTCTGAAACACAAAGCTGAAGAGCCTCCGGGAGTCACGAACCAGAAATACGCAAATGCCCTCAAAGTTGCTTTGCAATTCTTCGACGTCCAGAAGGGTGGGTGGGTATAATTGTCATTCCATTATAATAATGCATGAGCAGTACTACGTATTTTTAATTTATTTGTGAGATGTGAAACAGCTCCACATTAAAAATGCTTAATATAAAAAACATTTATTATAAACCGGACCATGCGATTAATTGATTTTAGGGAAAATTGAAACTAATAATCCAACCTTTTAACAGTCTTCTTTTATTAATCCGACCTTTTCGTTATTCATGAATAATCCAACCTTTGCACCTCATCTTCATTCATTGATCCCGACCGGTTGATGACCTGCTGTTCCGAGTTATTTTCTTATCTCTGCAAACTATTATACCATAAATTCCACCTTTCACAAAGATAATATTTTGCAAAGATAAGAAAATAACTTGGAATAGCAGATCATCAACCGGTCAGAGACCAGTGAATGAAGATGAGGTGCAAATGTTAGATTATTCATGAATAACGAAAAGGTGAGACTATTAAAAGAAGACCGCTAAAAGGTTGGATTATTAGTTTCCATTTTCCCTTGATTTTATTAACCCCGCTGTGCTGAAACAATCTAATAAGCATTATATTGGACAGTTTAAAGGATTCCAGGGTAATAATTGAACTACTTTATCATTATACATCTGTTTGGATATCAGAAAATCTTAGGAGTTAGGGAAAGCAGATAATTTACTCTGGAGTCTGGACTTACATGGCCGTTCCTTATTTTTGGAGTTATCTATAGAAGAAAAAAAAAGATACTATAGGGATGTTTGTGTATTGGTGTTTCAACCCAAAACAATATAATTTTTCAATATGAAACGCTGAAAAGTGCAACGTTTAACACTCAAAACGCCGAATTACAGACAGAGCTTATGCCTAAAAATATTCTATATTCTCTGGTATTTTCACATTCAGAAAGTAAGTAAAGTTGAAATGACAAAATAAAATCGTAAACCTAAGTAAAAAGAATGTTGAACTATGAATGTTACGTAGTATTATGTGTGAAAATACCTAATACTACCTCCGTCCCGTTGGAATGTTCCCACTTTCCTTTTTTGGATGTCTCAATGGAAAGTTCTCATTTCCCTAAATGAAAAGTTATCCCACATCAAAACAGTGTCAAACAGTGCCAAACAGTGTCAAACAGTGTCCAAACAGTAAAATTTACCCCTGGTAAGTTTATTTCCTTAATATGTGTGTAGGTCAAACCGGGAACATTCCAACGGGACCGAGGGAGTACTAGATATGGCTCGTCTTCCTCTTAAATTGACCTTGCATTTTATTCAAGATGAAACCCATGTTATTAGATCCAAACACTCCATACTTTTTAGGGGGTGTTTGGATCCGAAAGTTGAGTGTTTTGAAAGTTGGATGCTCTAATTTACTCTAGAATCCGTTGTTTAGAACACGGATTCTGTTAACTGATTCTGTTCTGCTTTAAAATACCCTTATAACATTTGAGGTATGAAATTTACTTGCAGCTGGGAAGCTGGACGAAAACAAAATACGTTGGAGGGGAGATTCGGCGCTCAAAGATGGAAGCGAAGCGAAGCTGGATTTGAGCAAAGGAATGTACGATGCAGGAGACCTCATTAAGTTTGGTTTCCCGATGGCTTACACTGCAACTGTGCTGTCATGGGCGATCCTCGAGTATGGCGACCGTATGGCTGTCGTCGACCAGCTTGAACCTGCCCGTGACTCGCTCAAATGGATAACTGACTTCTTGGTCAATGCACATCCCTCTCCTAATGTCTTGTACATTCAGGTTCCACTTTTATCCTTTCTTATTCTTCTCGTTGTTGTCGCTCCTTAAATTGCCAATTGTGCATGTAGGACATTAGGAGGAATATAATGTTCGAAATATTTACAGAGTAATTCTTTGTAATGGAGATACTTTTCATAGGTTTTCAGTTCGAAATTTCCTATGGCGGAATTTATGATCTTTGTGATAACGTAGCATTTTCCATCATTTGCAATGGAGCCAAAGATTAATTATTTTTTGGCTTGAGAATATGATGGAATAAAGCAAAATGGCTCACTAAACTGTCTGCGCTTCTTTGTTATGAAGCAGCAGTCAGTCCATGCAATTTTGGACGCGATTTTCACTATGGGTCATCCGGAAACAGTCTCTCCGTGCTTTAGTACAGGGGTAAGACTGCGTACATCCGACCCCCCTTACCCCACCGTAGGTGGGAGCCTTTGCGGCACTGGGGTAAATGAAAATGAAAATGATGAAAATGATAACTGTGAAATGTAAATACAAAATATCTGCCTGCCCCTAGCATGAATGTGAGAATTAGTAGCAATGTGTTTCCTCAATCTGTATATCCTTTGGAATTTCCTATGGATGTATGAATGCATCCTTTGGAAAGCAGGGCAGGATTTAAAAGCTCTGCTTGCAAACTTTGTGATTATTATTTCCGGCTAGCCTATTCCTTTGGATTATATCTGTTAGAAAGCCGCCTGAAATCACATCCTTGACATCAAAGTAGTTGGCATCCATCGGATTTTCAAGTTCTTATGCACTTATTAGCCCCTGGCTTCCTCATTTTTAGATTAGAGTTATCAGATGTTGGTCGACTTTATTAATTAAACTTGCCACACTCTAAAAAGGATCTGAAGTTTACCTCACATTTTGTATCAAAACTTTTATGCATCCCTGTGACTCCATTATGGACTTTATACATTGTATATATCCTACATTGTATATGATTTTCATAGTATAGCGGAGGACCCCTATGAAATCGACTAAGTGAGTGGCTACACTGATACACTGAGACCACATGGCTCATATGATAACAGAGTGGTATAGGGTTCCATAAAATTTCCACTCTATTTTTCTTAAATGTTAGAATTAAATCTCTTGAACAACGAGACAGTTAAAAGACATTTCATTACTAACATGATTCTGGTACTATTTGCCTCATTGGAAGGTTGGGGATGCAGAACATGACCATAGTTGTTGGGAAAGACCAGAAGACATAAATAATGATAGGCCATTGATCCAAGTGAATGCTTCTGTTCCCGGAACAGATGTTGCTGCTGAAACCGCAGCAGCTATGGCAGCGGCATCCCTTGTTTTTAAATCCACCGACGCTGAATATTCAACCTTGCTTTTGAAACACGCCAAACAGTTGTTCACCTTTGCTGACAAATATCGAGGATCCTACAGTGAAAATATCCCCGGAGTAGCCACATATTACAATTCGACCGGGTATGGGGATGAGCTCTTATGGGCAGCGAGTTGGCTCCATCACGCAACGGGTGATAGGTCATATTATGAGTATGCAACTGGGGAGAATGCGGAGAAGTTTGTGAAATGGGGAAGTCCGACTTGGTTTAGCTGGGATGATAAGTTTCCTGGAGCTCAGGTAATTCATTTATTTCTATGTTTTAGTTTGGTTCTTTATGGTTCTGTTGTCCATACAATACTAAAGAGTGATACAAGTATATGTTTTTATAAGGCTTGATTTTGACACAATAAGGATGTTTTTAACCGACCAGACTTTAACAAACCAGATCAGACCAGACCGTACCAAACCATATCAAACCAGACCACACTAGACTTGGACAAATTGTAAAATACCAATAGAACAAACATCTGTAAGACCAATTCAGATCAGACCAGTCTAAACTGAAACAAACCATATTAGATAAAAAAAATCCAATCCAATTAAAAACAACCTAATTTATCGGATTAGTTGTTTAGTGTGACTGATTTAGTTACAATTATAAGACAGTTGAGCGATCAGCCGATCACATCCATATTTTGATACCTATTAGGTTGAGAAGTGGTTTAGGTAGTGCCAAACAATTTCACTCTGGCTAAGTGTAAAGATACAAACTCACATATAAGTTGTTCCTTATATCAGCCTATCAGGTTTGGATTTTTTAAAATAAATTGTTTTCTAATCCACCTCAAATAATTTTTTTGAATGAAAACCAAAACCAACCGAATAAAAAATCATTAAAACTGTACCAATGAACTGCTAGATGCTGGTCTTAATATGTGATTCTTAATTCAACTCATAAAAGTTCATAACATTAAGAAATGATAAAAATTAAACAACTGAATTTACTTAAGTTATTTCACATGGTCAAACCGCACAAAGTTAGTAAAAGCTGAATCCAGTATTTAAAACAGTCTAACCTATGCTATTAAAAATCATGGGTCTGTTGAACAATTTAATGTGGGCAGTTATTTCATTAAAATGAGAATACAGCAAGTTACGGGTTGTTATTGCAGGTTTTGATTTCCAGGGTGAGTTTCTTTAAGAAAAAAGCCCCCCTCTCGAATTCGATTACTCTCCAGAAGTATAGAGGCACTGCAGAAGCAGTCATGTGTGGTCTCTTACCAACATCTCCAACCGCCACTTCTAGCAGAACAGACTGTAAGAAAACACACTCTTATTAATCATGTGGAGCATCCACCTCTATCACCATGCTTCATTCCTAGATTCTAATTCGAATTAATAATGTCCATATTGTTGTGGTTGCAGCTGGTTTGATATGGGTAAGTCAATGGAATGCTTTGCAACATCCTGTCGCCTCTGCCTTCTTAGCAGTCGTTTATAGTGATTACATGCGTTCTTCTCACACTGCTAAGCTATTATGTGATGGCAAATATTTTTCATCATCTGATCTCCGAAAGTTTGCCATGTCACAGGTGAGACTTCTATGTGTAATCTCCAACACACGCATCACATTTCTCTTTGAATGCCTTTTTTTCCTTGGAACTCATTACATCAGATACAAACCAACATAAACGACATCGGCTACGCATGAAATAACAAACCAACATAAACGACATTTGACTAGATGTTCAGACGAAATGTCAGGTTGTGTAGGTTTGTGCCATTATGAAAAACTGTGGGCTTCTATGATGACTTTTTATCAGTCCATACGGGCTTCTTTGATGACTTTTTTGTCAGTCCGTAAGAAGGGTTGTGTAGTGTAAGAGTGTGAAGACTTATTAAAAAAACTGCACAATCTAGATGAGTGATCTATATGATGTAGCATGAAAGGGTGTTAAGTGATTTGTCCATTGTTTGGTACTGCTCTGGAAATGCAAAAGAAAGTAAACAGGATTATTGTGTTGATTTTAGGGGGTTTTCTCTCTAATAAAATAGTACTCATTAAAAAACGTGACCATTTTTTAAGTATTCTAAAAAAAACTAAATAAATCACTTTTAGTGACTATACCGTTTTTGGTGAAGCCCGTTAGTGCCAGTGACACTGCCCACATGTCAAAGTAATTTTATTTTCTTTGTGTCACTTTTAGAAGTTATGTTTTGGTTATTCTTTTCGTAATTTCTTTTACATATAGTTAAATTTCTTATTATTTTAATGATCGAAATGAATTTAAATGTTAATAAAATCTAAGCAAATAATATTTTCTTTGAGTGTGAACCAATGTGTATTTTACTATCATTTTCTTTTTATCCAAATGTGTTCTATGATTTTCTTCTTATTTTCTTTCCCTTGCATTTTCCAAGTTCCAAGCTGCGCCCAAGTATTTTAAACTTTTATCACAATTTATTACTTTGCATATAGGCTGACTATGTATTGGGAGATAATCCAATGGGGATGAGCTACCTTGTTGGGTATGGAGATAAGTACCCGAAATATGTTCATCACAGAGGAGCCTCGATCCCTGCAGATATGAAAACCGGTTGCAAAGAAGGCTTCAAATGGCTTGAATCACCCAAACCAAACCCGAATGTCGCAATTGGAGCATTAGTCGGTGGACCATTTCTAAACGAGAGCTATGTTGATGCAAGGAATAACTCTATGCAAGGAGAACCAACCACCTATAATAGTGCACTCCTTGTTGGTCTCCTTTCTGGTTTGGTTACCACCTCTCCAGTGGTCCCATCCTTTGTATGAGGCAGGTGGTTCCTAGCTAATACACAACTTTATACATGTACATAAACCCAACATTATACATCTTTATGTATACATATACACACACATAGTGTATGTACAGAGTATATCCTAAAATTCCTAGGTTCTTGAATGTTGCTAAAATGTATGTATACAGAATAATGGTTGTGTACTTATACTGAATATGGGGTGGCGGATGGCAAACTTTTTGTAAGAGGTTCACAGATGGACGCTCGTCAAGTCGAATCCGATTCCCGTCCGGTTAGCTCAGGTGTCCAGATTGAAAAACTTTAAATGGAGCTGGATTAACCTATCTTAATACCAATTCATGTACATTTCCTGTTTCTAATTCTTCTTTTGAGTGTTTGGGAAGTTCTAAATTGAAACAGCTTTTCAAAAGAAAAAAATAAAACTAGGACTATATTCTCTGATAGAATACAGAGAATACAAGAATATAACCTTACTAGAATGGGATTGTACAGTTGTACTATGAGTAAAGGGTCGGTTTGGTCCTCGAAGTTGCATAAAAGGGGTCAAATAAGTCCTTATATAGTAGATTCTGTTCGGACGTGCCATTTGAGGCGGTTCCCAGTGGAATCTTTTGATAATTTTTTTTGAGCATCTTATTTATCAAGTCTAGTTTACTCGTACCAAATTTCAGCTAAAAATTCAATCGGGAAGACATTCAAATGAATTCTTGAAGATAACTGCGCTTTTAACTGCACAGTTATATTCAAGAATTCATTTTAATGTCTTCCCGATTGAATTTTTATCTGAAATTTGATATGAGTGTACTAGACTTAATGAATAAGACGTTCAAAAAATTTCGTCAAAAAATTCCACCGGGAACCGCCCTAAATGACGACGGCTGGATAGAATCTTCTATATAAGAACTTATTTGACCCCTTTTATGCAATTTCGAGGACCAAACTGACCCTTTACTCGTACTATTTAACGGCTTTGCATGTAAATTTACTTCTTATCATCGGACTAGGACAGGGATGAGTAGTGCCTATGAATAAAAAATGCAATTTTGTAACTTACTAGTATCTTTACCCGTGCCGTGCACGGGATATAAGTTTTTAGTTTTACTAACAAAAAGTCATTTATTTAGTCAAGTATAACATTGATTTATAATGCATATTCTCATCTATTGAGTATGTCTTACTTTGGAACTAACTATTTAAACATGTTTTCAGCCTTTATATTTCAAATGGCGAAATGAGTATCACAGGCTAGGCAATTCTATTCTAGCTCAACAATCTAGTTGAGAAGTTGTTGGCGTGAACCTAATAAACATATCTTACCTTGTATAAATTATAGAGCTAAATGAACACATTGCATAAATTCATACATGAATAAATTAAAATTCATATTAATGATTTTAAAATGCTTTCAAGATTTGTTTTTCTCAATTAGATCGTATTGAAGGAATAAGTTTTTTAAGTCACTTGTGTAATTTTATAATCCCTGTTTGTATTTTAGTACAAAATCATGTGCCATCTTCTCAATTTTCGTTGACAAATAAAAATTTACTCATGAATACTTTTAAAATATGAATGATTAACTTCATAATATGTTAATTTAGTTTTGTATGCCTATTTCATTTCTGCTTGCATAAGTTAAATAAAGTTTTGTAATTGTAATTACTTATTATATTGATTGAGAAATGCAAAAATGAGTAATAATTGATAATTATGCTCATTTTATTTATTTATATGAAGTTGTTAAGATATGATGGGTGACAGTAGCATGTAGCTTATAGAGGGTCGTTAAGGAGCGTCAAAATATAATAAGTAATAAAAGTGGCGCTTAAGACCTAGATAAATGAGCTAAACGGTGTATAAAGGGTAAATGTTTTACTCATGAATGTAACTTTAATATTGTACGACTATTTGATCATGAAAAATATGATCATTGTTCATTCTCAATATGATAAATTTGTCTTTTTATATTTCATTGCATAGTTTGACATCTTTATGTTTCGATTATAAGCTACCACTTGATGTGAGAATATTTTATAAAAGTCTAAAGCATGCAACCTTTCTTTGTTTAATAACACTTATCCTACTTAATTAGATCATAATGCTCTCAAAAACTCAATCTAATGAACAATAAATGAGTTGCTTATCATACTGATTGAGATATACAAAAATGAGTTACTAATTGGCAGCCAGCTCAATTTTAGTTAGTGTTATTTCAGAATATTAAAATGGGTAGAATGTTTCAAGAGATTTATTGAATTTTAACCTACATTAAAATGGGTAGAATGTTTCAAGAGATTTATTGAATTTTAACCTAATACGGAGTTCTAATACGGAGATTTATTGAATTTTAATTGGATTGGGTTTTTATAATATTTGTTTGATTTGATTTGATATGATCTTGTCTAGTCATATTATCTGGACATTTTCAACTCTTCTTTCCAAATTGATTTACTTCATCCAGCTCTGAACAATAGTCTCTAGTTCAGACAATAGCCCTTAATTTCGTCATTAGCCTCCACTTAAAGCACAAAGTGCCAGACATAGCCCGCTTGGTAACATCTGTTTTCAGCTTATCAATCTTATCAACTAACTTTTTGTTATCAACTAACTTTTGGTAACTTTTTGTTATCAAATACGTAGCACAAAGTGACTTTATAGCACCATTTAGCTATTTTTCATGTAATTATTTCTTAATTTTATTAAAAAATTATTTCTTAATTTATTTTTTCAATAATTCAGCAAATTAGGCCATTGCGGTCACTTTAACCAGAATTTCATAAATTACAGCAGATTTAACCGATTTAGCTAATTTCACTGCTACGAAACAGGCCCTATATATTCAAATAGGGAATTGCTTTATGCACCTCTAGAGTTACTAAACCTAATATGTGTAAGAAAAATTTACCCCTTTAATTTTCTTTTACTAAAAGTGTTTCCCAAACATTTCATAATATATATTTTTAAAGTAAATATCAGTCTCTTTCAAAGTTCTTCTTGTCACATAAATGTTAAATATTGTGTTACTTTGTATTACTTAATTCTGTTTACACCATTTTATTTTAAATATTAAATTATTTTAATATTTTATGAAAACATCAATACTTGTTTTACATTTGGAATACCCAAGTTAATTTATAATAGGGTAGGGGGAATCTGACTTAGCACCCCCCCCCCCCCCCTTTGGATGATATTGGATTTTGCACCCCATTTTTAAAAAAATTTGACTTTGCACCCCATCATAAACATTTTGTGAAGAAAAAAATCTGAATCGGGTGCAAACTTAAAGGACTTTTAAGTGAAATGAGGTGTACAGTCAGAGTCTTTTGAAAATGAGATGCAAAGTCCAATATCACCCAAAAAGTGGGGTGTAAAGTCAAATTCTTCCCTTATATGTAGTAGCTTTTTATTACTCATAAACACACCATGTATGTATTTCAAAGAATGCTCAAAATATTATTTCTCATTTTTTAAATAATAAAAAGCTAATAGTTTTAAATATCTCTAAAAAGCATTCAGGTATGTTTAAGCCTAAAAATTCCAACCCAATGATAATGTTTAAAAATATACACATGCTCATGTCCTTAAATAATACTAATGTTCCAGGAGATATATTCTAGCTTTAAATTTTAGGGAGAACTCTAAAAATGTTTTTAATTGAATTTAAATTTTCTGATTTGATTTGATCTGACCTAATCTGATCTGATTTGTTTAAGTATTTTCTTGTTTGAACTGGTCTGACATGGTAAATGTCTAATCGAATTATAACTGAACACAAAATATTTTCCATAGTCCATAATTGTATTTTGAATTTTTTAAATTTAATGCAATGTAGAATGTGTTGTGTATATTAGGAAGTTTTTTCAATTACTTAATAAAATTCCAATCTACTTCAGGCAGTTATTAGGATTTTTAGAAAGTTTTAAGAATATTGGAATTACGTAGGTATATATAATTCCAACATAATAGTCCTAAATTAACGTAGTAGAATTTATAGACGAAGTATAATTCTAAATGAATTTTGAATTTCTAATGTTGAGTAAATTCTAATGCAACGTAGTCTTTTAAAACTAATGAATTCTAAATTTATAATGTAACGTAATAGAGTTTATATATAATGCTAAATTTGGAAAGAGAATCTAAATTATTAAAAGGTAGATTCTACCATACCTTTATCCACATGGACCAATGAGAATGTAGTAGTTGTGGTCCAATCAAATGAATGATAGGTACGGTACCCTATTTTTTTAAAAGGTACCGGAGTTGTCACCTTATTAAAATGGATGTTCGTTTAGAAGATGACACATGACAATACTTCCTTAAATGTAACTTTGAAATGTATTATCTAGATGCAACTTACTACGTATTGAATATATAATTATATAGTATGAGTAATTTGAACCAACCAATTACCAAAATAATACTCCCTCCGTCCCTAAATTTACTTCCAACTTTCCTTTTTGGGCTGTCCCAAAAAATACTTCCACTTTCTATATTAGGAAAGTTTTTCAATTAAAATTACCCCATTACCCTTACAATTACTTTTCCATCTACCCATTTATTACCCCACCCAACCCCCATCCGCCTTCTTTTATTTTCTGGCACCTTCTCTCTCCCTTGTCATTATTCCATCCATCGACATTCATCTCTTTCTCTCGCACCCTCTCTCTCCGTTCTTTCACTTCTCCTTTCATCCCCATCTGGAAAACTCTACTCCATCTCCGTCGATTAATCTGCAGTCATCCCACCCACACACCCATTGAAAGCTTGAAAGCCAAGAATGGCCGAAAAATCGATAGATTTGTGCATGCATAATGATTTGAATGGTGTGGTGGTTGAGGACTCAGAGGATTCTTCCGGATGGGCCGATTCCGCTCGTGAGGCTGAGATATCTTCCGGCTTTGTCCCTGACTCTGAGATCTCTTCTGGCTTCGTCCCTGACTCTGAGATCTCTTCTGGCTTCGTCCCTGACTCTGAGATCTCTTCTGGCTTCGTCCCTGACTCTGAGATCCCTTCTGACTTCGTCCCTGACTCAGAGATCTTGCCCGGATTTGTCCCTGAGGTGGAGATCTTGCCGGATTTCATCCCGAATTCTGAGCTCCAGTTGGTCCCGGTTTCTGAGAATGAAGTAGGATTGAAAGGAAGAAAACGGTTGAGATCTGAGCATTTGGACCGAAGAGGTGAAGCCTCCAATGACAGTTTCATTGACATCTACCTTCGGCCAGTGCATATAACAAATCTGGAGTATTTTCCACCTGCATCCGCTCATGCTGACCCGGACCCTAAAGTTCAAGAAAGAGTGGACGCATGGGTTTCAATGTGGCTGCCCCTTCCCAAAAAATAAAGGTGATAAGTTCCACTTGTTGCATGCATATATGAGTGTCTCTATGCATGTATTTCTGTAAGAATTTTTAGTCCCTCAGTCTGTGTTGCGTAATTTGGTTTTATGCGTCAATGATTTTCACTTTACTGCCTCTATGCCTAAATGATGCCTATAATTGATGTCATGTATGCGTAATTCATGTTGACCTAAATACCTCTAAACCTAAATGATGTTTAGATTGTTCCCTAACTGATGGGGGTAATTAGGGGGCTGTTTAGATGTACACTGGAAGCATGCTATGTATGTCACTCCATCCCTAAATGTTCTTCCGTTTTGACTTTGCACATTGATTAAGAAAATGTTGCCTAAATGCTTGTATGCCTAGATGATGTTGACCTAACTGCATGTATGCCCAAATGATGTTTTGATTGGCCTTAACTGATGGGCTAATCCTACTGGCAGTTAAGATGTTGACTAATTCTTATTGTGGAATGTTGCCTAAATGCTAGTATGCCTAGATGATGTTGACCTAACTGCATGTACGCCCAAATGATGTTTTGATTGGCCTTAACTGATGGGCTAATCCTACTGGCAGTGAAGATGTTGACTAATTCTTATTGTGGAATGTTGCCTAAATGCTTGTATACCTAGATGATGTTGACCTAACTGCATGTATGCCCAAATGATGTTTTGATTGGCCTTAACTGATGGGCTAATCCTACTGGCAGTTATGATGTTGATTGATTCTTATTGTGGGATGTTTCCTGATGCCTTTATGTTTATTGTGATGACAGTGTACTATTACTGAGTCCAAATAATCCAAACTGCATATATAGATAATGCATATATAGATAATGACAGTGTCTTGTTTGTGTACATGTTTTGTATGTGTACCCCAAAAGCCAAAACCACAAAACCCAAAAACCACTAGCAAAAAAACCAAGACCCTGTGTATACCCAAAACCCAAAATCATAAAATCCAAAATGCAGTAGCTAACATACTGTAGCCATGTCTTTACCCAAAACCTCCAAAGCCAGTTCCTACCTAAGCCTGGGTGCTACCAGTGTCAAGTAACTCCATCACCTCCGTCATTGTTTGTAGTGTCTGCTGCATTTGAGATAGGTGGTTCCCCATTTCCTTGTAACAAGTCCATCACTTCCCTCACTATTGTAGTGTCTGCAGTGAGGGAGATAGGTAGTTCCCCATTACCATGTAACATATCCTTTCCAATGTGAGGTAATCTGTAGTTGTTGTTACCTTTAACAGTTAATATCTCCTTCATACACATCTGCAATGATAGCCAAACCTTGTTCAAAGTATAGGGACTCAACTCCTCAAATGCTTTGGTCACCCCTGCCACTAACTCTGAAACTGTAGTACTTGGTGATGCTTGTTGTAGGGACTGAATAGATCTAAAAAACCCTAGGTCTAGAACATTTAAATCAGGACTGTTGGTAGGTTGACATGATAGTTTGATGTTAAATCCATCCGTAGTTGCCTCTTTCATGAACTCACTGTCATTAGGCTTTATATGTGGTCTGGCATTGTCTTGTTGGATGTAAATATCCCCAGATGCATCAAGTGGCCACTTGGCTTTGATGGCAGGGATCACTTGTCTGAGTAAACACTCTCTGTATACAATTTTATTGACAGTCTGAATTGCTTTTTCCTCAATTGTGCCAATTGTTCTGTTTTTGCTATTCCTTTGTGCTGCCTGGAATTCCGTGAATGGGAAAATACCTATTTTCCCATCAAATAAGACCTCAGAGTCTTCTGAAAAGATTGGCCTAGCCACAGCACACAAAAACATTACTTTTGTGATGAATCTCTTGGACTTACATGTTCTGTGTGGCTCTTGTTCATCCGGAGCAAGATAGTACCTCTGTGAGGGTTTAGTAATGTAAAACCACTTCTCATCCACATGGACATAGTTGAACATGGGTTCAAATAGTGGATGAGTTGTGAGTGAGTGTGGGACAATGTGCGAAATGACCCATTCAAGCCTTTGAGTCATATTTGACTCAGTCAAATAAGGTTTGATAGAATTTGTGTGTGCTTTAATCTTACCTTGTCGTATCAGTCTGTGCACGTTTGTTTTGGGACACCCCATAGCAGATGCCAGACTTCTTATGGTCTGCCTTTTGTGAAGATCTATTTCCTTAAAGTCAATTGTAGGTAGTGGTAGAGGTTTCCTCCCGCATTTTGCAGCAAACTGTCTGTCAACAATTAAAGGTACACCATCCCTTTGTGATTTCATGATTTGTCCCCAAAAACTTGTGATGTACCTTACTGACACTTGATGTTCTTCAGCTAATGCAGATTTTATTCCTTTGGCCAGCTTACCATTTGTGGAATTAGTCAGAAGAACTTGCAAGATCCGCTGCTTTGCTTCATTAGATAGCCTTTTTTTGTGCGTTGTTTGAAGAATTTCAGAAACTTCCATGTTGCTTTTTGTGATGATTTACGACTGCCTCTTGTAATAGGTGTTGCTTTATATAGAGCTCTGGCTTATTTAAAGTGTTTAAATTTTTTTAAGTTGGAGGGAGTACTCAAAACTCCCGCCAGAAGACAAAATATCTCAAAAAAATCTGCCTACTTTTACTGTACACTGCAGCAGTCTGTAAAGTAGGCAGCCCCATCCCCTTTTATTTTCCCTGAACATGTGCTGTAAAAAATAAAGGGAAAACATGGAAAGTCAAGGGAAAACAGTGTTTTTTCTTAATCAATGTGCCCAGTCAAAATGGAAGAACAATCAGGGACGGAGGAAGTAATATATATAACGTGGAGAAATTTGCTCTCCGTAGGACCAAATCAAAGCTCTTTTACAAATAGGGAACTACCTAATGTTTTTGCTATTCGTATAACCTATTTAGTTCTATAGGAGGAAACTTATTTATAGCATTCCAAATTTGCCCTTTAAAGTTAAAATAATGCACGCCGCTAACGATTTCCTCTTCTGCACCATGTTAGCTCTGTTCTTCAGCGTCGATCCTCCATCTCTGGTTAACAACCTTCTCCGGCGAGATCGGAGTCTACCAAGCTCCGATTTCATCATTAGATATAGTAAATTGTGTATATATTGTTTTATGTGACCTGCTCTGCAATTGAACTATTATCACAACTTATTGTCTGTTTAATGACTACTTATTGTCTATGTATTGCCTACTATCGAACTATTATTAGAACTTATTGTCTGTTTATTGATTACTTAATGTCTATGTATTGTCTAGGGTTTGCAAGTTTAATTTTGGATCTGGTTTCTTCAAACGTTTTCAGAGTACCTGGTGGCCTTTTGAAAAAATCAAAATAGAACTTCGAAATTGGGTTTATCAATGTCCAAAATCAGATAAGAAGAAGAAGGAGGAGGAGGAGGAGGAGGAGTTACCTGCTCCGGCGACCGTAGAGGCGAATCCAGCGAAGAGGGGCGGCGGCAGTGGAGGCGAATGAAACCAACGACAGTTGTGCGGGAGGTTGAACTACCCGATGACAAGAGATGTTGCAGATGGTGAAGCCTGATGGGGAAGATAAAGATGCGATGAGCCGATGATGGGGAAGATGCGATTGATGGAGTTTGTGTGCAGGGGAGAATTAAAAAGGAAGGGTAGGTAACTTGGTCAAAGCAGGTGTACTTAAGTCTTAGGCTAATTTGTAGTCTTAATTTGGGAAAATTAGTATGATTAGGTCCTACTTGTTGAAATCTCCCTATAACGTGGGATGTAACATATTTATATATCTAATCTGACAAGTGACAACCCTGTATGGCTGTATACCATAATTTCTTGAGATATTACCCAAAATAGGACTAAAAAGGTTTGAAAATTCCAAAATAGGACTGCCATATTTTTATTCCCAAAATAGGACTAATTACTGCCATGTTATGGCAGTACCAGACTTCAAACATGGCAATATTTTCCAAAATGACAGTAATTACTCCTATTTTAGGAATAAAAAACTTGGCAGTCCTATTTTGGAATTTTCAAACTATTTTAGTCCTAATTTCTTACAGGACCGGTCCTGATATAGGGGAAGGTTGGGCGGCTGCCCAGGGCCCACCAGGAACATGGGCCCATAAATTATTTAGTGTGTGTGTGTGTGTGTGTGTGTGTGTGTGTTTGTGTGTGTGTGTGTGTGTGTGTGTGTGTGTGTGTGTGTGTGTGTGTGTGTGTGTGTGTGTGTGTGTGTGTGTGTGTGTGTGTGTGTGTGTGTGTGTGTGTGACCTCAAGCGCATTTGATCGGGAGTCTTGTACGGCCAATTCCATTTGAGGTGCTTCCGGATGAAAATTGTTTGATGAAAGTTTGTGAGCATGTTTTTATTAAGTGTAGATTACGTCCACAAAATTTTAGCTTAAAATTCAATCAGGGAGTATATTAAATAAACTATTGAAAAATAGTGCACTTTATATATATTTACAAAGCGCAATGTTTTCAATAAATTATTCAACTAACTTCCCAATTGAATTCAAAACCGAAATTTTGTGAAGAACACTCTCACAAAACTTTAGCAAAAAATTCTACCTTGAAGCTCCTCAAATGGACTTGTCTGTACTCAATACGGGGCATCTTGGTAGGCAAGCCTAACAAGATCATTTCCTTATACTCTAGTGCTCCGTAAAAGATATCCCTCAATCCTCATATCCATAGACTTACCCACAACGGCAGAGCTACACAAGAAACATAGACTTACCCAATAGTTTTATGGACAAAACATTTACTTGTAGTAAACTTTGGACAAAGATTTTAATTATTATATTTGTATATAATTTATAAATTTTGTGCTTTTATAAAAATATTTTGAATAAAGGACGTTTTGATATAATTTTCATATTCTAAATAGTTTCGTATTAAAAAATACCATTGGTCAAAATTGATTGTCGTTGACCAAGAAAAGTCAAATTGGCAAAGTTTTTCGGGACGAAGGGAGGATATAATTAGGGGCCTATTTTTTGTCTTTGTCCCGGGCCTATAAATTGTCAGGACCGATTTCTTCCCCAATTTAACTCAACAAACACATACGAATACAGGTAAAAGTTAGTGAATCAAGCCAAAATGAAAATATATAGCTACAAGATGAATAAATGTCGAATAATTGAAAATGCTGTTAAGCTTAAAGCTAGCTAGCTAGTGCCCTATTACATATATACATACATACTCGAATGCGCGATTCCACCCCTAACTGTACAATATGTATGTAATTATAAAAGATTAATCAATTAGCTAGATCATTCAATAATTAATAGTAATCATAATATATAAAAGTAGTAACTAATAATAGTTGATATATGAGGTCTCTCGATCAACGAGCAATTTCGGATTTGGCCGTTGCGAAACCCAATTGTTGCTCCATCTCCCATTTTAACTTTGGTGCTGCCTCATTGTGCTTTGGAACATAATCCTACATATATACACACAAACATCATGCCTTAATTATTACTCATTAGATTTTTATTATGATAAAATATGAGTTTCGTCAAATTAAACCACTAAATAAATTTTGTGCCATTACTTCCTACTATTACCAACAAAACTAAGACGATAGAAAGTGTGATTTATTTATAAAAATGACATTGATTCTCCTCATTCATTATAGTGCACATTTTAATATGAAATTTTGTACCATTCTCAAATTTAAAAAAGCGCACAATATTTGAAAATTGTTGTCATACATGTCCATGCCATCAATATATGATCGTATTCTACTTTAATCATATACGCATGGAGTATGGATGTTCTTACTTGGACTGTTTATTAATCCCAAACCAGACCAAACCAGACTTAAATAGATCAAACCAGATCAGACTTAAACAGACAACACCAAACCAGACCAGACATAGACAAGACATAAACAGACCAGACCAGACATGAGTTCCGTAATTATAAAATACACAGAGATCACCAGACATTTATATGACCAATTTAGACCAGACCAAACTTAAACAAACCAGACCAGTAAATTACAGTCCATGTAAAAACATCCTATATAATAGAGGGGTGCATCTACCAAAAACAATTTAGTTACGTTCTTGTCCATCAGTCCATGAATGGCTGAATGCATGTGACTTACATACCACTGTACCACACACATGTTATTGCTATTGAATTACTTTCTACAGGAAAATAGTGACTACTTGTGTCCAATTAAACATGTTCTTAATTTGATCTTGGATAGTACACGTTCAAGTACATAGATAGTACGTAGTATTAGATATACGTTCATATATGGCCGTTTTAGTGTAGGTAAACATTATGAATTGAAGTACTTTGGATTGTACTACGTACTATTTTAACCTTGCATGATTGATAATATATACAGAGTGATTTATATAATCTCATATCCCTTACCAAATACTACATTCATCCTAAAAAGCTTTGCCATATTGACTTTTCTTGGTCAATGATGACAAATTTTGGACAATTATTTTAAAAATTATATTTGTATATAATTTATAAATTTTATACTTTTATGAAAATATTTTGTAATAAGAAACATATTAATATAGTTTTCATATTCAAAATAATTTCGTGTTAAAAAGTATCATTGTTCAAAATTGACTATTTAGGGACTTCTCAAAACACTGAAACTTTAGATAAGTATGAAGATAATAATCTATTTGTAATAGGGAAAATGGAAACTAATAATCCAACCTTTTAGCGGTCTTCTTTCAATAATCCCACCTTTTGATTATTCATGAATAATCCAATCTTTGCACTTCATCTTCATTCACTGGTCCCTAATCGGTTAATGACTTACTATTCCAAGTTATTTTCTTATCTTTGCAAAATATTATCTTTGTGAAAGATGAGATTTATGGTATAATGATTTGCAAAGATAAGAAAATAGATTGGAATAGCAGGTCATCAACCGGTCATGGGCCAGTGAATGAAGATGAGGTGCAAATGTTGGATTATTCATGAATAACCCAAAGGTTGGATTATTGTAAGAAGACCGCTAAAAGGTTGGATTATTAGTTTCCATTTTCCCTTTGTAATACAGATTTATATTTATTTCACATACAAAATTATTTCAATTAATTAATGACTCCTGCAATTAAGTTAGAATCGAAGCTAGTTAGTCATCTTACTGGAAATGAGTATAATTTGGGGGATAGGAGGGGGAATGTGTACAAATTAAACAGGTATAAGACTTGAGGATTATTAACAAAATAATATCATCAGCTAGGTAAATGATAATTTAAAAACAATTCTCACAATGCAAGCTGCATGTGGATAAAAATTCCCTTATGGATATTGCCATCTTGGAATCTAATTTAATTTATGAATGTGGATATCTGATCTCTATTATTACTCCATCGCTTTCTTATAGTGTTGATATCTTTCTTGGTTATTATTCCAAAAAACGTTACTACTTTCTCTATTAATTAATTAGTTTTGGTTACTACTTCCTCTGTATTATTTTTCTCCTCTACACAAATCTCGACTAGACAGACTTTATTTCCAACTTTATTTTATGGTTGAGATGGTCAAACTTGACAAAGTTGCGGAAAAACCCATTATGAGTCTACATATAT